AATGACTGCTTGCCCGTCACCCCAGCGGGTGGACAGTATATTGAGCGTGCTCCCGGAATTCAGGCGCGGCATGGCGCTGCCTCTTGTGCGGTATCTTCGACTCTTGGGCATGCTTACAGCTGCGTCCGCCGTAGTGCCCTTGGGGCTGCTGTCATTGCGGCCCCTCCAGATGTGGTTGAACAGCTTGAATCTGGATCCCACACGGAACACTCATCGTCTCCGAAGACTTCGGGTGGGGCCTCAGTGTCTTCAGTCTCTGTCCCAATGGAGGGTGAGGTTGTTTATGACCACGGGGGTCCCGCTCGGTTCCCTCCCGTGTCGTCGGGAAGTTGTGTTTACAGATGCATCCTCCACGGGCTGGGGTGCAACCTGGCGGGGTCAAATGGCACAGGGGACATGGTCCCAGCGGCAGGGCAGGGAACACATCAATGTCCTGGAGTTACAGGCTGTGCTTCTGGCTCTTCAGAGCTTTCTTCCAGGCTTGTGGGGGAAGCACGTGCTGGTGAGGTCAGACAACACCACAGTGGTCTTTCACATCAACCACCAGGGGGGCACGAGGTCAAGGAAACTGTTGTGCTTGACTCAACGGCTTCTGACCTGGGCAGCTCCACGCATAGCCAGCCTCAGAGCAGCCTACATCCCAGGGCCGGAGAACGTGCCAGCAGATTTTCTATCCCGTCAGAAGCCGCTTCCAGGGGAGTGGAAGCTTCACCAAGAGGTGGTGGAGTGCATCTGGAAGGTCTTTGGCAGGGCGGACGTGGACCTCTTTGCCTCAAGGGACGCATTTCACTGTCCCCTTTGGTTCTCGTTGGACAACAGCAGCCCTCTGGGCCACGATGCTCTGGCACACGACTGGCCCAGGACCCTCCTTTATGCCTTTCCGCCATTCAGCCTACTTTTTCAGACTCTCCTCAGGGTACGTCAGGAGGGGCACAGGGTCCTGCTGGTGGCCCCCTACTGGCCAGCGAGGACTTGGTTTCCTCTACTGTGCGAGCTCAGCTCCGGCTCGCCAATGCGTCTCCCCTCCAGGAGAGACCTTCTTTCCCAGATGGGGGGTCAGATCTTGCACCCCGAACCGGACCGGCTCCAGCTCTGGATTTGGCCCCTGCAAGGCCGGGGTCCACCTTCTCAAGATACACTGGGTCCATAGGGCATACAATGGCTAATGCATGGGCGCCGTCCACGCGAGCTGTCTATGCTAACAAGTGGACGGTCTTTGCGACCTGGTGCCGTGATAGAGGGCAGGACCCGGTGCAGTGCTCAGTTTCTGACATACTGACCTTCCTGCAGGCATTGCTGGATCAAGGACGGTCCCCATCTACCTTAAAGGTGTATGTGGCTGCCATTTCCTGTTGGCATGTTGGGCTGAATGGTTGTTCTGTGGGCCGAGACAAGGATGTTGTACTGTTTTTAGGAGGTGCTCGGCGTTTGCACCCACCCAACCGCCCTGTGGCACCGGCGTGGGACCTTTCTCTTGTGCTTGAGGCTCTTCGGTCCCTCCCATTTGAGCCCCTGGCGTCGGCGGACCTCAAATGGCTCTCACTGAAGACTGCGTTCCTTTTAGCTATGGTTTCCGCAAAACGTGTAGGGGAGTTACAGGCTCTCTCGATAGCCGAACCCTGCTGCCGGTGGAATCCTGATGGCTCAGGCGTTACACTGTGGGCTGATGTAGCATTTATTCCTAAGGTATCACTGCCAGCAGGCAGCACCCAGCCTCTCCATCTTGCCCGGTTTGACTCCGGAAGTCCCTCTGAACCACTGTGTCCTGTCCGTGCCCTTGAGACATACATCAATGCCACGGCATCCTTCCGAAAGACAAATAGCCTTTTTGTTTGCTACGCTGGCTCACGGAAAGGTCAGGCACTTTCTAAGCAGCGACTTGCACACTGGGTTGTGGATTTGATCTCCAAGGCTTATGCCTTGCAGGACCGGCCACTGCCGGCGGGAGTGAAATGCCACTCTACAAGGGGCATGTCGACATCGTTTGCTGCTATGACTGGGGTGCCATTGGATGTTATATGTCGTGCGGCCTCCTGGAAGTCACCTAGTACCTTTACTCGGTTCTACAGGGTGAATGTGGCTGCGCCCCATCCGCTTCAGGGAATCCTCGAGCAGCATGCCTCTACATCACATTAGGTGGGTGGTGTAGTCGTTGTTCCTTGAATGTTGCTGATTCCTCGTGACCTTGTTGATATGAGTCATCCAGTGCTTGAAGCACCGCCTCTGGCGGTCAGTAGGGATGAAATAGAACGAAAGTTACTACCGTAACTACGGTTCTATGAATCCCGGATGACCGCCAGAGTGCTTGGTCCCTCGGAATCTCTGCTTTCGCAAGAAGATTGAGGGATTGATTGCCGGGTGCCACGTGACTATATAGAGTCACGTGGGTCCCCGGCAGGTCACAGCTGACTTTGTTGTCATTAATACTCGACCTGCGCATGCGCAAGAATGATCATTCAGTGCTTGAAGCACCGCCTCTGGCGGCATCCGGGATTCATAGAACCGTAGTTACGGTAGTAACTTTCGTTATTCCCTCTAGGCCAGATATTGTGAGCCATCACACCAACTGAGTCCTGTTTTTGTTGGAGAATAAAGATTGAAATTCCTCTCCTCTTTTTGGATTGTCCTGTGTTGTTTTGGGGATTGTTTAAAATGCAGTGACTTAAGGCATGCCTTTACTTCTACCAAGTATCTCTCTGGGCCTGTAATTGTGTTTTACCATGTTTTAAGAGAAAAGGTTACTCATACCTTCCCGTTAGTGGGCTTTTCTTTGCAGTGAAGTAGCAAATTTATTTGGAGGAAGCCCTTTGTGTTGACCTTACAGAAATGAGAAGCATGTGTGCCATGATTCAGAATCACATTGCTCTCCAAATCTAATCAGTTTGTGGCTGTTAGCCGCCTGGGAACCTCAGAAAACAGTTTTTCTGCCTTAGATGTTGCAGACTCTCTAGCAGTGATTTCACAGTGTGTGCATGGACCACCTTAGGTTTACCGTGGCAATAGATCCACTGTGTCCCTGTTCACTGGTACCTCTGCAGGGGAATTTTGCATTTACCTGAACTCTTCTGTTCAGTTTCAACAGTCGGCTTTATGTTCCACAGTAAAGACCTTCTGCTGCGTCTGGGATTTGGCCGAGGTGCTCTCTCTCCCCTTGTTGGGTTTCACTTTGTGTCCCTCTGGGCGGGTGTGTCTCCACTCTGTGTGTTTGGGTTCATCTGCAGTGAGAGATCTGATTTCAGGGCCGCTGGGGCCGTCTGGCTGCTGCTGCTGCTGATGATGATGATGATGATGATGATGATTATGATCTACACATCATAAAATGCCCACAAGTGAACATCCCCACTAGGTAACATGTATTCTCATGGTGGGGTGACTTGGCCCCCTGCTGGTAAAAGTGTGTACATATACTTGATAAATGATTATACCTCCTACCTTTTTCACATTTTATGCTTCAAACTCTAATAATTCATATTTATTGTAATTAATTTTGTGAGATGTTATGTCTCGAATAAAGAATAATTGTAAAGTGATACATGGTTTTCATTTTTTCATCCCTTGTATTGTAACGCTCCTAAATAAATAAATAAAATCAGGAATTAAATTGTCTTGAGCTGCAAAACCTGCATTACATTTTAGGCTTAAGGACCACTTCCTTATTTTTTTTTTTTTGCGGTTTAAATATCTATAACTTCTTAGTTGCTTACTAAACTTGCTAAAGATGTAATTACAGTTTATAATTATTTTCTTCATTACACAAAAAGTGAGAAGTTTTCTATGAAAACATCTGTTTTTAGGCAATTTTTATCTAACATATTCAGACACAGCATAGTTTAGTTTCCATTTTTTTCCCCATCCATTTCATCCTGCATGACTTTTATGTTGGTTGATCTCAATATGAGCAGTTTAGGCATTATGAAAGTTGAGAAAGGTCTTAAGAAGTATGAGTATGCCTTTTGTTTGGAAAATAGCCCAGTGAGCTTTAGAAGTCAAGTAGCAGTCAAGATATGAAACCTACTATCAGTCATCATGCCGGGACATCGTTTGTGGTGTTCCACAGGGGTCTGTATTGGGACCTACACTGTTTCTCTACGTGGATGGCATATTTAAAGTTTGAAAAGTATTTAAGTTTGTTTTGTTTGAGGATCATACAAGTATTTTCTGGATCTTAGAGCAGCTTCTCAGTGATAATATAGCAGAAGTGAACCAGCTAAAAATAAAAAAAAGTTTTACCGAAACATAATTTATTTGTTGCTGTTAGTGATTTATAAACATGTATTTTAAAATATCCTTTTTGATATACAAGGAGCAAATGTCAGGGCTTAAAAACTGGGGTTGAGGTGCTGCATTAGATTTAGTGAGGACAGGTGCAGCAGCATTCAGGATCAACCACAGCCATCTAATACACCTGGGAAGACACTGTTGAAGTAATTAATTCGGTTGAAGTTGAACTCAGCGATGAGTTAAAAAAAAAAAATTATGATTCTGCTGAGATAGTAGTCTTTTACTGTTCTTCCGGTTTATAGAAGCCCAGCTTAAGAATTGTCTTTATGTGCATTTGAAGGTTCAGGTCTGAGTCCACCACTACACTCACTTTTAGGCCTCATCAGGGGTTTCTAGCTGCATAAAGTCATGGCTCATCCATGCAGTGATTCCTTCCATTTATCCAGAGCTTGAATGGATTCATATTGATCTTGTGACATTCTAATACGTCTGTTTTCTGCAGAGTTATGGTAACTTCTGTTGTTTAAATCTAAGCTAGATTTGCCAAGCTGGCAGAGACTTTCTCAAATGCAATGCAGCTTCTGCTGCAGCTAATCAATGTCTTACAGTGTCGACCGCTAGAAGATCAACACAAGAGCTCTCCACAAGTTTCAGATTTTCCATCTGAAAATTTTTGTTAGCTGCAGAATGACAGAATTATATCATGCTTACCGGTTAGAAATCTAGAATGTTGTTACTCTATCTAAAAAAATTTATGTATGTTTCTGCCTTTTCTGCAGCTGTACGTTGTAACTGCACAAACTGTGATGGTGGAGAGTGTGAGACAGATGGCGCCTGCGCTGTTTCAACGTTCAAAGATAAGATGGGGGTGGAAGGGCCCATGCGGCACTGCATCAACTCTGACCGAATGGCTCCCCCCATCTACTGTAAGAGTGCGGAAGGTCACCTCAACGTTCTCTGCTGCTATGAAGATTACTGCAACAGTGTTGACCTGAAAGCTCCAGGTGAGACCATATCCCAGTATAGATGACAGCTTTCCAGTTGGTGGGTTTTGATTAAAACATTCTCCTTTTCTGATCAATATAGCAACGACAAAGCCTGCGAACTGGTCGGCCTCGGGGAACTCCTGGGGGCCAGTGGAGCTGGTTGCTGTCATAGCGGGGCCCGTGTTCCTCCTCTGTGTGCTGCTGATGGTTGGGGTGTTCCTCTTCCAGTATCATCAGAGAGCCTACAGCCACAGACAGAGGCTGGAGGTGGAGGACCCCTCCTGTGACCACCTGTACTTGGCCAAGGACAAAACGCTGCAAGATCTCATCTATGATATGTCCACCTCAGGATCCGGTTCCGGTCAGTACACCCAGGACACACTGCCTTGTAGTTGCTTTCTACAATGTGTCTGATGTGTGTCTATGCTGCCCCCTGTAGGGCTGCCCCTGTTTGTGCAGCGGACAGTGGCCAGAACTATCGTGCTGCAGGAAATAATAGGAAAGGGGCGTTTTGGAGAGGTGTGGAGGGGGAAGTGGAGAGGAGGAGATGTTGCAGTGAAGATCTTCTCTTCCAGAGAGGAGCGCTCCTGGTTCAGAGAGGCTGAAATCTACCAGACAATCATGCTTCGGCACGAAAACATCCTGGGATTCATTGCAGCAGACAATAAAGGTGCTTTCATTTAAACTGTAATACAGTCTTGAGTAAAGTCTGAAAAAACAAAAGGACAATAGCTACTGTTTAAGGTTTGTTTTGCTCAGTTAATTTATCCGTTAATCTAATTTGTCCTGTTTTGGTTCATCTTAGACAACGGCACATGGACACAGCTGTGGCTGGTGTCGGACTATCACGAGCATGGCTCTCTTTTTGACTACTTGAACCGTTACTCTGTCACCATCGAGGGCATGATCAAGCTGGCCCTTTCAGCTGCAAGCGGCCTGGCACACCTTCACATGGAGATCCTCGGCACTCAGGGTGAGAATAACGTCCGCCTCAGCCCCTTTCAGATTAGTCCAAACAGAACAGCCTGAAGTTGACCTTTGCTATATTTCTACTGCAGGTAAGCCAGGCATTGCTCACCGGGACCTCAAGTCTAAAAATATCCTTGTTAAGAAGAACGGCACTTGTGCTATAGCTGACCTCGGGCTGGCAGTTCGCCACGAGTCCATCACAGACACAATCGATATAGCACCGAACCAGCGCGTGGGCACTAAGAGGTAACGCCTTCACTTTCAATGACTCACTGTTGATCTTTCAGGTTTTTCCCGAGTCTCTGTTCTATTCTTTATAGACTTGGATCAAAATAAGTTGGTGTATTTATACAACCTTCCATAAGTCCCACCACAGTAAAAGAAAAAGGTTGCCATCATTCATAATGGATGTATATATAATCTACTTATCTGATTCTTTGAAGGTTTTTAATTTTGAAAGAAAAACTGTGTAGGAACTATAATCATCCAAAATATTTCCCTTGGATCCATCCAGGTATATGGCTCCAGAGGTCTTGGATGAAACCATCAACATGAAACATTTTGATTCCTTTAAGTGTGCTGACATTTATGCGCTGGGCCTGGTGTACTGGGAGATCGCACGCCGCTGCAACACAGGAGGTAAGCCCTTTAACGGAGACATTAACAGAGCCTGAGCAGAAATAGAAAACAGCAGAACTCTTCACTCTGTGGTACAGGTATACATGAGGACTACCAGCTACCCTACTATGACCTGGTGCCCTCCGACCCGTCCATAGAGGAGATGAGGAAGGTGGTTTGTGACCAGAAACTGAGGCCCAACGTTCCCAACTGGTGGCAGAGCTACGAGGTATTTCAGTTTGCATCCTGACAGCTGAATGAAGGCTGTCTACATAGATAGAGGCTGTAAAGGAGAATAGTTGGTCTATGTTTTAATTAGTCTGTACGTAAGAGGGGTTAAGTTGTCTGATCTCCTTTAGATGAAAGCTCTTTGATCTATTAGTTACTAATGCTTATCACAGTAATGTTCACAGTGGCAAATATCTTATGATTACAATTAATTTGGCAAAACATCTGTATGTACTTTCATCTCAATATAAATACAGCACATAAGTAGTATGTTAATTTAGTTACCAGATTAGTTGACAATTCTTTCAATAACGGAATAGTTTAATAAGATTAATGAAACAGACCAAGGAACCGTATACAGGTCAGGGGTAAGGGGGGTTAGAAGTTTAAGCAGCAGTGTGTTGCTTTTAAATTTCTTTTTGGATGTGTGGCATGAAGAAAAGCTACAAAAAGTCCTGCTTATAGTTTTCTCTAAGACATTTGGAGCAGAGAGCAAACCTAAAAGAATGTCCTCCAGTCAGAAGAGACCAAAATATAACTTGCAAAAGGCTGTGCGATAAAACTCTTTATCTGTTTGAAAATAGGTGATGGCTCTGCTTCTTCTTAGCAACATGGGAAACTGATCATAGTCGATGAGAGAATGGATTTACCAAAACGCAGGAAAATTCCTGGAAGAAGCCGTTTAACTGCTGCTAAAGACTTCAGACTGGCAGAGTTTATGGGAAAAAAATGACTGGAAAATATTTACTTCTTAACATTTGACCATAAGTCCTGTGTCAGTGTGGCCTAGTCAAAGTCCAGAGCTACTTTAGACCTTGACTTTTTGGTCAGAGATAAAATTTAGAAATAATTTTTCTACATTTGTTTGAAGGTGAATTAAGAAATTAGCTAGAAAAGTGCAGACTGAGTGGCTTTCGATTAAAATGTTGAAGTAATTGGGTGCACAGGTGGAGCAGTGGTGCGCACGACCCGTTTATGGAGGCCTTAGTCCTGTGGTCCTTTGCCGCATGTTTTGCTGTTTTGTTGCGACCCCTAGAAGTAAATTAAAATGTTATTCCTAAATATGAAAAGTCAGATTAGGGATGAGATGTAAAGTGACCTGTGTGTCCTCTGCTGTGCAGTCGCTGCGTGTGATGGGGAAGATCATGCGGGAGTGCTGGTACGCCAACGGAGCGGCCCGACTGACAGCTCTGCGCATAAAGAAGACTCTGTCTCAGCTCAGTGTGGAGGAGGACGTCAAGATGTGAGCAAGAAATAAACGAGGCGCTAGAGACGCACAACCTGACCACACTCCCATAGGAAACAAACACTACAGACAGACAAATGCAAATGGAGAAAAAACAAGAAAACAACCCTGCCAGTTTTAATGCCACAATGTGACAAGGCCTACCTCACCTTTTTAGCCAGAACTACTGAAAGTCGCCCGTCCCTCTCCTTTCCCCACTCGTGTGTCTCTTCCCTGCTCCCCTCGACCTTCTAACCCACAGGCCACACTACAACACTATCACTGTTAATAACATCCACTCATCCTCCTTTCATTTACCCCGGCAGGAATCACTGTACAGTGACTTTTTTTTGTTTGTTTTATTTTTATTTTTTACCTCTGATCGGTTCAGCAGTCGACTGAAAGTTTTCCCAGAGGGGTTTCTGTTGTGGGTTTTTCAGAAATAACACTTTGGTTGTTTTGCAATATCTTACCGTCGTCGTGTGAGGGAGAGAACAGGGGCTGAAGTACTGTTTCTATTTATGCATTTGTGTGTAAAAATATGACTGGACTACAAGCATGTGTCTAAGGCGGTGTCTTCTAAAATACAACTTGGTTAAAAAAAAATCTGTCCTTTTGAAATGAAGCATGAACAGCATCAAAATTTCTTCATTTAACCCACTTGAATATGGTGAAAAAACAAAATTACAGATGAATCCAGGTGTTTGCATCTACTGTATGAAAAGACAGTTTGTTTTTTTTAATTCCAACTAAACTTTTTCCGTTTAAGGTTAGTTAACATTATTCAAAGTGTTTTAACTGGAATAATGAGGGATTAGTTGATGATAATGTTACGTTCCCCCAAGTTACATGGATGGAGTTTAACGCACCTTAAAAGCTCTGCTTCCTTGTGTGACATCATGAAACAACTAAGAGAAATCATGAACAGGACTGCTGTTCTCAAAAACTGTGTTTCATCCTTAGGTAGAATTTCTAGATGTCTGAAAGTGCCCCTTTTATCTGCTCCGACACTAGAAGAAAGTGATCAGGTAACGGTTCAGGAAGGAGACAGTTCAGTTTCTCAGAAATTTAAAGTTTAAAATGTGTAATTCAACCTCAGAACAATAATAAAATAGCACGTATAGATGCTGGTTGAAGATGAAAGCGTTTAATTCTGTTCTCTGCTACCTGTACCATGCTCAGAGGAAGAATCCATTGTTTCAGAATAAAGGAGAAGAGCTACTAGCACTCAGGTACAAAGTCCTTCCTGCAGGGTTTACTGCAGGAGGGGCTGGTGCACTTAACGAAACAAAGTCTTCCAGACAGACAACCACCCTATTATACCTCCCAATTAGAAACAGCCGTGTGTTTAGCATTAGACATCAGGAACCCCGTGATTTCAGTCCCATTTGTGAGAGAGAGTTTTAGTTCCAAAAGCAGGAATGAACCAAAGTCTCAGCAACTGAGAAACCTAAAAAAAAAAAAGAAATGTTTGATGGTTATTTTACCAAATACTGAAGAAATGTGTACATTTCATTATTCAGTGTTGCTAATAAGGTATGATTTTGCTAATGCTAACTAACCTAAATCAGAAAAACAAGGTTGTGTCTTCACACAGTGGACGTAAATATCTAGATGAAGCTGTAGTTACACTCCGCTGTAGCTTCCTGACGCCTGCAGGGTTTTCAGGATGTGGTCCAGTCCTGGATTTAGTTTGAAAAGAGGCAGGGATTGTGGTTGGGAGGGTTTTACTGTTTTTATTTATTTGTTAATAGTTTTGTTTTTCAAATTAATGAACACTGTGAGATGAGATGCGACAAATCAGAGTGGAAATGTAAACGTCGAGATGAAAGGGTTATTTCATTCATTTAGCGTGACGCTCAGTCTGAGTTTGAATGTAGCCATTAACCCAGTCGGTGACGGGCGCTGACTTTGTGCACTCTGAGCAAATGAGTCGTATGAAATGACAATGAAAAGAACTTTGAGTTTTGTTTTTTTTTTATTGCTTTTGTGTAAAGAGGTCATAATGGCTTTTGTTCTTTGACGCTAGACACTACTGATTATGGGTACATGTGATTTTATTTGTATATAAATCATGTTTTGTTTCTCCTTTATTTTGCCTCAGCTCCAGTGTCGCAGAAAGACGCTGAATTCTGATTGGACGGTACTTTCAGATATTTTGTTTTAGGCCTGCAGGGTTTATAACTGTGCTAACTGATGTTAATAATTGCTGGAGTTTGATTTTTTTTTTTTTTTCCCACTTCTCTCATTGGTGGTACTACTGATCTTTTAATCCTTGCATTTACCCATTTTGTACCCGGGGTGACATCTCAATCTCCCTCTCATTTCGACACTGGAATACATTCAGACATTGTGTTAGCCTCTGATACTGCCACTGGCTCTTTTACCAGGAAACTGCGGATGGATGAAATGCGTCCAACATGCTGGTAGATGTGGATCGTAGTAGGGCTGAAACGATTCATCGAGTAACTCGAGTAACTCGATTACAAAAAATCCTCGAGGAAATTTATCTGCCTCGAAGCTTCGCTAAATTTATTGTATTGTAATAAGCAATGCTGTTAAATACGCAGCACACTGGTCTAGCCGGAGGGTTTTTGTGTTGCACAACGCTACCACTTCCGTTAGCGCCTGGAGCGCTTGTGCTAAGTTTGTAGCTATGGAGGGAACCGGAGAATGCTCAGAAGGAGAACCCCGAAAGCGACAAAAAATGTCAAAAGTTTGGGAACATTTTAGGCTAAACAGAAAGGACAACACAGCGCAATGCATCCACTGCAAAGCAGAATTGGCGTAGCTACCACAACAGCACGACATCAATGTTGCAGCATCTGAAGAGAAAACACCCGCTACATGCATCCAACTCGTACACGGTTGCCAACAGGTAACGTTTATGTTCTCTTTGCTAACTACGTTGTGTGATAATCTGCCATGTTACAGATGTAAATTGAGGCACATTATTTTGCTAACGTTACATCTAAACATAGCGGTTACTTAACCGGGTGTAGTGTAAATTGTATGTGAGGGTGGAACTGAAAGAAATTATGCAGGACTTAATGTAAGTTTGTTAATAAAAATACGCAGCAACAGATTACAGGCATAAGCTGAAAAGCATTTATTTATTGGTGTCTTTCCATCCTGAAAAGTTGCAGTATTTTCTTCTCGCTACTGTTATGTATGAATTAGACATTTTTGATTAATATTTTTTGTAGTAATTCTATATTTGTTTATACCTAAGCAATCAAGAATAAATAATAACATCGTTTTAATAAAAATAGCAACATTTTTGCATTTTATCATGACTAGTTAAGGCTGCAGAACTCTGTACAAATTTGTGAGCCCGCCACTTTATTATTTGAATATAATTTAATATCTTATAACTTTTCTTCAGGTTAAAGCAAACTACTGTTACAAGTAAACTTTCTAAACTACAAAAATTTAACTGTTAGGGATGCTCAAAAAGGAGATATTGGACTGATCTGGACTAACTGGTGTTTTGCAGATTTGCCAATAGCTTATTTTGTAAATTTTTTTTATCCGATTACTCGATTAATCGTAAGAATAATCGATAGATTACTCGATTACTAAAATATTCGTTTACAACAGCCCTAGATCGTAGTGAAGAACCTCAGACTGACGTGCCGCAGCGTGAAACTGCATGTTTTCCTTCTACTTCTGCAGAAAAGACTATGAAAGTATTACACTGATGTTTGTCACCTATGGGCTCTGCACTGTTATGTCCACAAGGGCGTTAAGTTTGTTTGTCAAAGCCATCACCTGAACCACGTGTCATGTTCCATACCTGTTTTGCATGCCATCTCAAACACTGGGCCCTCTGCACTGAGGTAGAAGGTTTCCTCTCCTCCTGCAGGTTCATTTTCTTTGTTTTTTGTTTTTTTTTGTCTCTTCATTTTCATTGGCTCTGCACCCCAAAAATGTTGCTGCTACTGTTTAACATGGATAGAGGTGTAGCGGAAAATAGAAATGGGAGCTGAAGTGGGAGAAAAATGCCGATTATGTTGATGATGATGTCAAGTTGAACCAAAATTGTCTAAACACTCCTGTCCATGTTTGGTGTGTTGCCATGGATATCCGATCTTCATGTTCATAGGTGAAACTTCAAATTTCAGTGATGATGTTGTGCTGATATTTTCTGATTTAGTTCAAAAGTGTATATAGACAGTAAACAATAAATTCCTCCTTTTCTTACATGGTGTCAAGTGCTGCTTTTTTGTAGATGCTCTGGTTTTAGTGTGTGCATTTATTTTTATCTTGTTTTTTTTTTCATCCATCTATTGTCTGTTCTCAAAGTATGTTTTGATTTGCCAAAATGGGGATTAGGAGCAGGTGCTTGTTTTTGTTTTTTTCTCCACACGCTATATCAAGCAGTCCAGGTTTTAAATATCTGGGAAAGAATTTGATTTTGCTTTTATCATTTTCCAAAACTGTAAGAGGTATTAAGTATTCAACATTTTTTTATTTTGTGTCCAATACTTTTTAAGGACTAATTTACATTTCTTTAAAGCTTTAAGTTAATGATTAAGTATGGCAGCACCCTCCATTGTTGCCTAAATACTTTCCCCTTCTTCCTTTTTTAGATTTAAAGTTTTTAATGACCAAACGGTAAAAATATTCAAGTTCAGTTACATAACTTTTTTTTTTTTTTTTTTTTTAGCAGATACTTCCGGTCTTAAGGCCAACATTTATCTAGTTTTCCTAAATGGAATGTTTCCTTTCTTATCTTGGAACGATTAGGATCATCTTTTCTCATAATTACGCCTCATGTCAGGGATTTTTTTTTACACTGACAAAAGGGTCAAATATAACTACAGGTTTTAATATAACTAACGGTTGTTTCTTATCACAAGTAAAAAAATTTTTCATATTGTATTAATTTTACTAGGTTAAAGGGGGGAAAAAAACTAATTTAACAGGATGCCTGCAAAGGTTTTTAACGTACCCAAAATTTTCAACCCATGACCGCTAACATAATGCAACTGAATGGTGACCCCTTTAAAATACTTAAGTTAACTTAATTACTTTAAGCTATATTTAAATATATAGAAAGAAATGATCATATTTTTAACTACATTTTTTTTATTCTTTAATTCATCCTTTTTTTTATTATTTAATGGGAACTCTTATGAGACA